AATGATTTTTTTGCGTTGTGGGCGATTAAGAAATTTTCCTCAAAAATAAGTTTTCTCTCGTTACATGCAATCCAATGGGTAAGCTATCTTGGTTCGAGTGAATCTATGCAATCTGATAGGTCAACTATTCTGGTTCAAGTGAATATATGCAATTTGATAGGTCAGATATCCTGGTTCAAGTGAATCTATGCAATCTGATAGGTCAACTATTCTGGTTCAAGTGAATATATACAATCTGATAGGTCAGCTACCTGGTTCAAGTAAATATATGCAATCTGATAGGTCAGCTATCCTGGTTCGAGTGAATCAATGCAGTCTGATAGGTCGGCTACCATGGTTCAAATGAAACTATACAATCTATTAGGTCTGCTACCGTGGTTCCAGTGAAACTGTGCAATCTGATGGGTCAGCTACCTTTTTCATAACAAAAACTTGAAACAAATTTCCTATCGTCAATTTCCGGCATCCAGTGACGTCACAGGTGTGTTTTGACGCTGGGTGGCGCGATATATAGGAAATGTTCATTTTAACCAATTATGCTTGGAATTCATGTGATAGTGTTAAGGAAGGTTGGTTCTGATTCATACGTCACGTGACTCTTGATAAAATTCACCAGAGCGAGAATAATGTGAAAAGATTATTAATGTCACGTGACTCTTAACAAATTATAGTCAATCAATGGAATAAGGGACGATGTCTCCTATAGTAAGGCGAAGAATGCACTCCTTTGGTAACAAATGTGTCAGGCACGATTCGTGTCACAAAGTTCCTTGTCAGTTTTGATTCTTTGTTTCAATAACTATACAAAACTGCCCACCCATTGCTTTTAAACTTCACCGATTCGATAAATAAAAAAATCAGACACAAGTGTTGGGGTTTTTACATTGTGTGAGATGCATTATTCGACGTGTCTCTTGAATACACTGACATTCTTGACAAGTTGGAAATGACAAACTGAAATGAATAATTAGAATAATTACCATTCTAAGGTGTTTTACCTCTCAGCCTGTGCCAATGTGATATACGCCGACACACCTGCTGCGCACTTATGAGCACTTTATTTGCATTCGCACCTTGTTTTATTTCCGGAATATCTCGCACTTATCGTGATTTGCTGGTTTGGTGACAAATCCTGATTTTTGTTAGGGCAGAATCTATCAGACGCACGAGGTAGCGGTGTTGGTGTTTGCATGACTCAATTTATTTTAGGAAAGGCTTCTGAATTCTGTGGGAATCTTAAAATCGAATTTAATTTAGAAGATTCTGTTGGACGCAGATCACTGGTAGCATATTGGTTGTCGCATCAGACTCATGATCGGTAGACCCAAGTTCTAATCCTACTTTAGGCTGAACATCAAAAGGGTCTACTCATACCGTTGGTGAACGTTCCACAAACTCGATGGGAAGGCCAATTCCACTGGCCGAGATTCATTCACTAACGAATGCGCCTTTGGGGGAACTTTGGTTAAGGTCTGCAGGTGCTTGTAGGAAGATGGCCGCACAGCTACTTCATGCAGTCCCAAACATGAATATGACTCATGTGGAAAAAATGCACTATGTGTCAGCACTAGCAATTTGCGCGTAAAAAAGTCATGAGAGACTACAGTGATATTCAAGGTCCGTAACTGTCGCCTGGCATCAAAAAAAAAAAAAAACATTAAAAAAAGACTCTGTTGGTTATGGTTTCTCATGACTTTAAAAACAACAACATTACGATGCTTGGATGGGTCATTGAGAGATATTCTGCAGATCATATAATGTAGAAATGCACGTTTAATATTTTACAATTGAAAATAACTTTCACTCTCAAGTTCATTGTACTAATACTCGAAACGTCTGGGATAGAAAAGATGTATGCACAGGGGAGTTTCTAATGGTCAATATATGACCGACATTAAACACAAACGATGAAAATTACTGACAAACTGACTGAAGCCCAATATTACGAACTCTTTCTTCCTCACTTTCTCTCTCATACACCTGATTGTAGGCATACACCTTTGACGTTTAACTGAATGCATGTGTGTATAGTTCATGAAGGGGGGGGGTCAAGTAATTTCCTCGTAAAAGCTATCTCAGCTTGACATCTATATTATACATTCAACGGAAGTATACACAGTAGTTTGTCCTAAACTTAAACATCGACACTTGCTTTTCAATATTGTTTTTGTCAGTGAATGTCTCACTGGTTAAAATGGTAAAGTTTCTACGACGGTATGGGTGTGTCTCTTGACAACGAATGTGAGGTATGATGCAACAGGAATGCCACACAAGAAACAACAACTTTTGGGTATGACTCGACAGTAATGACACGCATTAAAACAACAACTTTTGTGTATGACGCGACAGGAAAGCCACACATCAGACAAAAACTGTGACATATGGTGCGAGAGTAATGCCGCTCAGCATTACAAACAGTACATTTTGATTTAATAGTAGCTTTATTACTCAGTATTGTAAATGCAAGAAAAAATAAATTAAAAATCCAAGTCAATCATAATACATGTATTTACCTTGTGAATATCCATGTATATACTCTTGCTTGCTTGTCGTTGGTGTCGCTGTTGCGTGTCACTATTATTAAAGAAAAATACTTTTAGATATTATTTCAAGGTTGTCTTCCTATACCAATGGATAGATGTTATATATGGTTTATGTAGTAGTCCACAAATAAGAGTATAGCTAGTAAGCGCATATATAGTTTGGCGTTTGACTAAATGACATCCATGCGGCTGCCAAATAATTCCACTCCTCGCTTCTGAATTTCAGTAAAAAAAGAAAAGTCGGTCACTTCAAGAGGTCATATTACGCGAGGATGTAGATTTGCTGACGCCACGCCCTAATTCCAAAGTAAATGATATATTGCATAACATTTTGTATGGTACGCTCTGGAGGCCAATTCATCAGAAGCATGAGCTCAACACGCAGCTGAGCGTCACAAGGCTGTTACCATAGCGACGATAGTCAGAGGTTGTGACATCGTTCTCGCACGCACAGTACAGCAATTTACGAAAGTAAATTACTGACGCGTCGAACAATGCAACTGTTGGCATTAGTATTCCGCAACAGTCTAGTCTACCGTGCACTAGTCTGGCTTGGAACGAACTGACGGACTGGCGCCCTAAGTAGATTCCATCAAACTACTCCAAATCGAGCGCGCGGCGTTAAAGAGCCATCAACTACGATTTCTGCATTTTGTTTTCGTATTTTTGAATATATGTAAAACTACTGGAAAATAAATTGTTGTTGTTTGAACAGAAACATACATGTTGTAACTGTCTACATGCTATTGTCATCTATACATGTCAAGTACGGTACATATTACTATGTGCGTATTCAATTGGTATCAAAACGGTACATTTAAAAAAATAGTTGACATACATATTATAAATAGACAGCTTCAATCACAACATAACAATCAATGCACATGCGTATTAGTGGTTTTCATTTTTCATCAAACAAATACTGTTTTTTTTTCAAACGTATTATTTTAGCTTATGATAAATCATAATCAGTTTTTTTACTGCAGTATTGAGTATCGAACAACAAATCGAAAATATTTTCGTCATTTTTTCATCTTTATATTATGTTATACTCAATACTCAAAATTACTACACACTTCAGTACAATACACCGTATTTACGAATATACACTATATGTTGAACACCTGCAGGTTGCCTATTTGTGGTTGTTCTAGGCGAGTACGGAAAAATTGGAAACTGCGACCGAAGTGAGTTCTTCGACAGAAATAGACAATGTCAATTAAACTTTTTTGTAGAGATCAAGAAAGACCCACTAGGCAATTGCAAGTAAGTGCTAACCTTCCACGAACTATAATATTATGTACTAGTTAAACATACATGTGTTTGCTCTAATATGATATTTCTACATCAAACAATTGCCATCCAAGTCTAGTTTTGCGTCGAGTAAGAATGTTTGTCGCTTGGCTTCGCCATATCTGTGTTCGTGTGTCAGTGAAGGTACGTGTCAGGCAAAACCATTCAAATCGAACGAATGGCCCAAAAGCAAACTGGCATTCATTGATATTTAAAACGGGTCCATCGTTTTGGGGAATTATTCATGGATATAATACTTGGTTTCAAGGCAGTGCATGGAACAAGACGTACAGAGAACAATGTATACCACATATTTACCAGCGCTATAATTAACTTGTAACCATTGCTCCAAAGCGTCTTCTTGACCCCGTGATACAGTTGGACAAGGGCGATACAAATGACTACCACGCTGGCAATGACATTAACACTGCGGCTAATTAAGATAGCCACATACCACTGTTTGTTACCACCATATTTTATGCTATTAACCTCGTCAGATTAGTTACATTTGTTCATCCCATATATCTGCTATATTCCCTTAGGTTCAGATTCCCCACCCCATCGAGTTTTCTGGAATATATTGGTCACAACGGCAATCTACACCAATTAATCATACCCGTGGATAAATGTGCTGTCAGTTTTATACCTTAAATCGCAATAAAACAGAAAATAAATTATTTCAACTATTTTTTTGTCGAAGAAACAACAAAAAAATGCGATAGCAAATTTAAATGAGCAGAACTCGTTAGTAGTCGCTATAATGATAAGGTTTTCCATACTACTAAAACCAGTGGCGGATCCAGAGGGGGGCAGGGGGCATGCCCCCCCCCCCAAAAAAACACATGACGATTCATATCATCTGGATTACGCATTGCTTCTCTGCGATTTACACTCCGTAATTTTAAGCGTAGCTTGGACCCTCCCAATACATTTTGCTGGATCCGCCACTGACTAAAACCCCAATGAGGTACATCAATATAATTTAAATTTTCCCTGAAAATAGTCTCAATTTTTGCAATTAATATGAATTACATATCAGTTTACGTAATGCCCAAGGATGCTATCCCATCTCGCACACTCATCCTATATTTTGTTGCGCATATGGTTATTTCATGCACCAACCATTGTTAACTCATACTCATCATTATTTTATTTCAGTACAAAATATTTACTTATGGTCGACTGTTCCAAGAATGTAATAAAACAATGTTTAGAAGGGACAGCCTCCGGTGAGCAGCTGTCGAGACTAGTTGATACTACATTGGGCATGGTGCTGGCAATGGGAGAAGCCGAGACCATGTTTTGTCGTCAAGGAGGGCTTCCTTTAACCACTATCACCAAAGCACCGATGTCACAAGACAAACCTTGTGCTGACCGCTACTACAGACAAACTCCCAAATGCGGAGACACGTTTGTGGAAAAATTCAGTGTGAACCCAGCAGATGAGACGCTGTGTGTGTGAGTCTCTTACAACTTTTGTATTTCTTAATAACATATTTTACTAACTTTGGTTCATCGCGCTTGCGCACTTTGAACAAAGCACGCACCAGTCATTTAAAGCGAACACACTTTTCAGTTAAAGCCAATAATTAATATCATTATACATTACTGGAACTTATCTATATTGCCTTTCAAAGTAATAACTTTGACACAATTGATAGAGAAATAATTGTTTCGCATACGGCCCAACCATCCGCAGGACTGTGTGTGTCACGGTGTATGTGTGTGTGTGTTCTGCGATTTCATATTGTATCATTAAAATTTCGTAATATCCCCATGAGCGTGTATTTGAGAAATCATAATCGTGATTTTCAGGATATAGCGCCCTCCTGAGTTCTAACAACGCTTATTTCTGACGCTTGTACACTCTATCCTCTATCTTGTTTCTTACAGAGAATATGGAAAGGTCATTGATTGTGCCAAGCACAAAATCGAAGACCACTGTACTCGGTCCGAAGCCAGAGATCTGAGAAACAGCCTGTATGAAGATTTTAACCCTTACTGTGAGGCCGACAAAATTATTGCGAGGGAAGTTGCACAGAATTCTACTGGTCGGTCGTCTCCTACCAGTCTACTGTACTGGTTCTGCTGTGTTATTCTTATGGCCTTATATGGTCATTGAATTCTGCGTGCAATAAAATACGACGAAAGAATCGAATCATAAAAAACAAGATTCCCAGAAGTTCATTCGAATTTGCTTTGCACCACCGGAACAGCTTTAAGTAACTTTTTTACCCCAGTATAATATTTAAAAAAAAAAATAATAATATTTGTGAGCAGTAATGCATGTGAGCTGATGAACTTTTTATTGCTATCCTATATGATGAAGGAAGACACACATTCCATAATCTGGGGTTGTTTTTACTTCGCGAACATGCAGTAAACGCCACCAACGGTGGCATTTCTAAGAATCAGATTGACTTCCAACAGTTGTTTGTCTGAGCGCCAACCCAACCATTACACACATTCTAGCAATAATAATACTAATTAGTAATTAATACTAATTAGTTTAATTATATTTAATACAAGCTGATGTTCGATCCCAAACTTAGTGCTATTTATTCCTGGTACCCACATTTACGGCACTTGATCAGTTAATGTAATTATCATATTTTCTTACCGTCTATGCAAACTATACGTGCTTCTTATCATAAAATACTTATTTTCATTGTATTTAATTAACAGATCGACATACGGGCAATTGCCGCCTCAAGGAGATCCCAGTGAATATTAGACAATTGTAAAATAAAATAAACAATCCAAGAAAAAAACGAGCAAAAAGTAAAACAGTCAACATTTTTTTGTTGGTCTTGTTTCGGTATAACACTCAATATATCTATTTGGACAGAGCCAGTCCCAAAATCGGGCAATAAAATGTACACAGTTTAGTAGTACTGAACAATGGTTACAAAAACACGGTTGCTATGGCAATGATTACTATTTATTCCCCTGTGAGGCGGCAATACACGACAGCATTATAATAGTTCATTTACCAATGGCCAATTTTTGTAGAAGATATCGTGTTGGTCATTCGAATGCTGATTTTAAATAGGCGACTTGCGGGGTTCAATGTTACGTGGTATGTCCGAATACGCTATACAATATACTGTCTCGTTCATAGCCTGTCGTCCAATATTCACTGAAGTTAGTTAATTATTTAATTAATTGGCATTGGTTATACTAAGTTGTTTGTATATACCAAACAGCGACGGTGCGCGCGATGAATCAACCTTGAACGAAGCTAAATGTGGTGGGCGCGATAAATTAACCTTGAACGAGGCTAAACGTTGCTGACGTAATCGGACAGAAACCCGCATTGTTTTTTTAATGCGACTGAACTTCACAATGTTTAGTTAGTAAACGTCATTGTTTATTTGGGAGATACAACTTAAACATTACGTAATAAAATAACATTCTTTGCGTTATGATTATAAACAAGTATACGGTCATTAATGCATACCCTCGACGAGCGTACGAACCACGCTTACCTTGCTGAATTTAGTAGTGTGTGTAAAGCGTGGGTGACATTACACATTTGTGTTCTCCCTAGTTTGGTTCTACCATGATATGACCATCATATAGGCATAACCTAGAGGTTCAGAGAACGTGGGTGAAATACAAATTGAGAGGCGACCCAAAAATGAAATGCTACACACTTGTTCGGAAAATAATATCAACTATTTCGTCTGGGGTGATACAAATAACAATAATTTTATGTAATGTACACCATTTAGGTACAGTTTCTGTTTACAGAATGCGTCACGTAATAGTCAAATTGTACGGTAGTTCATTTATATCTCAGACTACTACAAAATATGGTTTTATATGTAGATATTAAGATCTGTGTTCTATAACATCTCTACGTTGTGACGATTTGGAACTTTTCTCAATAAGTACAAACCAGAACACCGACTGCGAACAAAATATCATAGTATGGCCACCGCTGGGACCAGAAATAATGCGTTTTGATGACTCTGATGAGGTCTAAGAGTAGTGCACCTCTGTTGGTTGACAGGAAAGCATTCTGGGAAGTATCGACCATTATCCGTTGGAATACTGCACTGGCGCATTGCAAATCGCGTCGTCTGAAGGGCGAGGCTAACCAGTGGTTAGTTTGGAGGAGTTACCCGAAAAAAACGTTTCTTGGCTGGCGACGGAAGATGTACAAATGGTTACAACGAAGAGAAGAATTGACATTTTTGAAACTGAGAACAAAATTATTTCTCCGTACCTTTCTCATTAAACCACGATAGTTGGTATTTGTTTGTTTTGTTTTAAACAAAACAATAAAATTATATCACTTTTAAACAAATTGCACGTGATAGCTTGAAGCACTTTACTCAACGTTAGAGGGCGTTCTGCAACTTACGAACACAAAGCTAAAATTGATTGAAAATAAATATTATTATAAACATTACAAATGTGCCAAATACGTGTTAGATTATTTTATGTGACATGGAAATAAAATAAAATAAACCGAAAATGCAAGTAGCTCTCTCTGCGTTTCTTTCACAACAGTAACCATCCTGGAATAAATAAGCATACAACAACGAACTACATACGAGAATATAGTATATTGTGTACACTAATTTTTCGAGCTAAGAACTCGATAGTACGCGATGATGCGATGAAGGCCTACCCACAATCTGCATCATCCCACAGGGGCTTGTCAACTGACGGCGAATCTTCTAGTGCGAGCATGAAGTGCGAGAAGGGAGGACAAATGCTATGGTTAAACTTGCCAGAATTAGACGTAATACACGCCATATCTGGCAGCCATATTACACCAATTTTCAAATTAAAACAAATTAGAACACAATTTCATGAGCCGATCAGCATCAATTCAATTCAATGGTTGTGATCGTCGCTAACGTACAGAGAAAACACTTCCAACGTGTCCCAACCCAGAAAATACTTGCGTGACTTGATCGTAACTTGTTCGTGGTTGTGTTTTAAATGTGTTGATAATACACATTATTCGGTTTGTGCATAGACCTTCTAGGGTATATGGTTCGTGTGAGTTTCTTCAAAGTTAAACTGTGTATCACTGCCTAAAATTCATAGAATCTTTATCTGTGACGTCATCGGGGCTGAGAAGTGTCCTCCATTCACGTACTACGGTAGTTAATATT